GCCCCCTGCTTGTGAAGACCAATGCCCAGAGGCCATATTAGTGATCTCTTATCTGAAATTGCAACAGTTCCCCAGAATAGCCACCTCTTCCTTTGCCAAGATTCAGAATGCTGACCTGACACCACTGGTTACTGTCAGCTGGAGATGGAGAGTGAAAGTTTAAATGTCAAGCAACAGGAAATACCACACTATAGTGTTTTAAGTAAATATATACAGCCTCTTCTTTCCAAATGGGTTGGGATGGGGCGGGGACACAAAAATACACAGTACATAATCAGGAGCAAATACCACAGAATACAGATGCAAATGAGAACAGAGAATGATCATTTATATTATATGCTCGCCAAATTCGTCAACACAATTAGTGTTTTCCCACTGTAAAGTGTAACACTGTTGTGACCTTCATATGCTGGCAGTGTAACATTAAACAGTTCAAATTAAAGACTTTGTCAATACCTCCAAGATATAGATTTAGATATGGTAAGCAGTATACAAATTAATTTCTTGCACTATGTATGATATTGTCTAGCAGTAGCATGAAAGAAAAAACAACTCTGCTAATCTTTTAAAATTCATTTGAGATCACTAACTCCAGCAGATGTCCATACATATTACGGAGGTTCTAGAAGTCACTGCTGTTACAAGGCAAACTTGAATCTCACATTTTCAACAATAATAGTCTATCGTTAGTCACTTCTAACAGTCATGCTACAGGACTAAATGCATGATCAGTTTCAGTTCTCTACATGTTGCCGAAATCTCTCTTCTTTCTTTCTGTCTTTCTTTCTTTTTAAAAAACACTGGGACCACTTAAAACTTGATTTAACCAATCTATTATACCATAATTTCTCCTGCTTTTCTCATGCCAGAAGATTCTGAGTACCAGTTGGAGCAGCAGAAGAAAACCAAATATTGATCTAGAAATTCATGTTAATAATCAGAAAAGAAGCTGCAAACACGGATTGCTGCCTTGTCGTGGCGAAGGGGCTTGAATAATTCAGAGAAGCTATGGGCTATGCTGTGCAGGGACACCAAGAAGGACAGGTCATACTGGAGAGTTCTGACTAAATGCAATCCACCTGGAGCAGAAACTGGCAAGCCACTCAAGTACCTTGCCAAGAAAACTCAATGGACAGAAACAAAAGGCTAAAAGATATCATACTGGAAGATGAGATCCTCGGGTCAGAAGGTGTCCAACATGCTACTAAGGAAGAGCAGAAGACAAAGACAAGTAGCTCCAGAGCTAGTGAAGTGGTTGGGCCAAAGCCAAAAGGACACTCAGCTGCAGACGTACCTGGAAGTGAAAGGAAAGTCTGAAGCTGCAAAGAAAAATACATTCTAGGTTCCTACGCAGTAAGATCTATGAACCTTGGTAAGCTGGATGTGGTCAAACAGGAGATGGCAAGAATAAACATTGACATCATGGGCGTCAGTGAAGTAAAATGGATGGGAATCGGTGGATTCAATTCAGATGATTATCATATCTACTATTGTGAGCAAGAATCCCGTAGAAGAAATGGAGTAGCCCTCATAGTCAACAAAAGAGTGGGAAAAGCTGTACTGGGATACAATCTCAAAAATGATAAAATGATTTCAATACGAATCCAAGGCAGACCTTTCAACATCACAATAATACATGTTTATGCACCAACCGTTGATGCTGAAGAGGCAGAATTTGACAAATTCTATAAAGACTTACAGCACTTTCTAGAACTGACACCAAAAAAAGATGTTCTTCTCATTATAGGGGATTGGAATGCTAAAGTAGAGTCAAGAGATAAAAGGAACAATAGAAAAGTTTGACCTTGGAGTTCAAAATGAAGCAGAGTAAAGGCTAATAGAGTTTTGTCAAGAGAACAAGCTGGTCATCACAAACACTCGTTTCCAACAACACAAGAGGCGACTCTACACATGGAAATCACCAGATGGGCAATACTGAAATCAGATTGATTATGTTCTCTGCAGCCAAAGATGGAGAAGCTCTATACAGTCAGCAAAAACAAGACCTGGACCTGATTGTGGTTCTGATAATCAGCATCTTATAGCAAAATTTAAACTTAAACTGAAGAAAGTAGGAAAAACCACTGGGCTAGTCAGGTATAATCTAAACCAAATCCCTTATGAATACACAGTGGAAGTGAAGAACAGATTTAAGGAACTCGATTTGATGGACAGAGTGCCTGAAGAACTTTGGATAAAGGCTCGTAACATTGTACAGGAGGCAACAACAAAACCATCCCAAAGAAAAGGAAATGCAAGAAAGCAAAGTGGCTGTCCAACAAGGCCTTACAAATAGCAGAGAAGAGAAGGGAAACAAAATGCAAGGGAGAGAGGGAAAGTTACAGAAAATTGAATGCAGACTTCCAAAGAATAACAAGGAGAGACAAAAAGACCTTCTTAAATGAACAATGCAAAGATATAGATCAAAATAATGGAAAGGAAATAACCAGAGACCTGTTCAAGAAAACTGGAGATATTAAAGGAACATTTTAGGCAAAGATGGACATGATAAAGGAAAAAAATGGTAGGGATCTCACAGAAGCAGAAGACATCAAGAAGAGGTGGCAAGAATACACAGAGGAGTTATACCAGAAAGATCTGGATGTCTGGACAACCCAGATAGTGTGGTTGCTGACCTTGAGCCAGACATCCTAAAGAATGAAATCAAGTGGACATTAGAAAGCATGGCTACAAACACGGCCAGTGGAGGTAACGGCATTCCAACTGAACTATTTAAAATCTTAAATATGATACCGTTAAGGTGCTACACTCAATATTACAGCAAGTTTGGAAAACTCAGCAGTGGCCAGAGAATTGGAAAAGATCAGACTACATCCCAATCCCAAAGAAGGGCAGTGCCAAAGAATGCTCCAACTACCGTACAATTGCACTCATTTCATACGCTAGCAAGGTTATGCTCGAAATCCACCAAGATAGGCTTCAGCAGTATGTAGACTGAGAACTCCCAGAAGTACAAGCTGCATTTCGAAAGGGGAGAAGAGCTAGAGACCAGACTGCTAACATGCGCTGGATTATGGAGAAAGCCAGAGAGTTCCAGAAAAACATTGACTTCTGCTTCATTGACTACACAAAAGCCTTTGACTGTGTGGA